CCCCCCGCAGATTTAAATAGCAAACTGGAAGGACGAGCTATTCAAGTAAATATGTCATCAGTTGAGAGAATAAGCAGATCTGATTGGTCGATGAGGAACAGGCTGCAGGATCTTGTCACTGCACTCAGATCAGTGTCCCCTGAGGCTCTGATACACACACTCTGCAGACACACACTCTGTACACTACACACTCTGTACACTACACACACACACACACACACACACACACACACACACACACACACACACACACACACACACACACACACACACACACACACACACACACACACACACTCTGCAGGCACACTCTGCAGACACACACTTTGCAGACACACACACATTAACATGAACAGCAGATAGCAGGTGAAAGTGCCGGGCGGTGTGAACGAGCCCCCCCCATGTGAAGTGTAAATGATCTGAGGGGCAGCATCACACCTGCTGATCCATGAGAATGGAGCTTTCATCAGAGCACGTTTTAGAATAAATCAGGAGCGTCCACTCCTCACCTCACTTCTTCTGTTGGAGCTCTACAGGTCTGAAGCATCAGTCAGCATGAGGGACACATTCATAATCTTAAAAGTCAATGATGGATTATAAAATGTATACAAACAGCCATAGTGGAAAGTAACTAAGTACATTTAGTCTAGTACTGTACCTGCAGAGTTAGAGGGGGTTACTTAAAAAATGCATTGTGTTACAATTTCTAGTTACCTGTCAAAATTCAGGAAGAAATCAGTAACCTAATCTAAATATGAAAATATAAAAGTAATGTAACCAGATTACTTTCAGTTACTTTTGGATTACTTAAATATAAAATGCAATGCAAATAAATACAAGAGAAAAATTAATAAAAACAAGATGGTTTTTGATGAAGTGTATTATGTAAGACAACAGAACATTGTGCCCTTAGAAAAGAGAAACCATGATATTTAGGATCAGAATTGATTTCACAGGAAAAACTTCCTTTCACTCAGCATATTCAGTCAGCAGCCAGTAGCCATACACTAACACTGAAACACATGAGCACATACTACAGTTTGAAAAAGCAGAAATAAAATCTGAGCTAACAGGAAATGCTCCATTTGAGTTTAACACACACAGTTAAGCTCTATTTAATGAACATATAGGTTCACCTGCTGAATTAAAAACAGAACAAATGAAGCAAAGAAAGTGAAAACCATAAAGCAGATTCAGGCAGTAGGCGTATAAATTCACCCTTAAAGTATTAGCCTACAGAACAGTACAGCTTACAGAGAAGAGAGAACATCTGATCCTTTACAACAAACACTATATGATCTTTTTAGGTTTTACTAACACTGTAATCTGGATAGTAATCCATTTTTTTTTTTTAATGTAACAGTAATCTGATTACATCTCTTTTATGTAACTAAGTGAATACATTTACCTTTTTTTGGATCCTCATTATTGCAATTTTGAGTAGCCTACTTGCATTTCAGAGAAAATATCTAACTTTTTATTTTGCTTTATCTATTTGATAGCTTCTGTTACCATTCACTTTTTAAATTATGTTTTTACACACACAATATGATATATTATTAGAGATTAAAAGTATATTCAGCTCCATGTTGACCAATGACAAAATGGCTGCTCACATCCTTAATTATAATGGTCCTTATATATGGTTATATAATAGTACTAGCCATTCTGCATCATGAGTACTTTCACTTTGAATATATACTTTAAGATGTTGTTTAGAGGTTGTTGCTGATACTTCTGCACTTTTTCTCATGCCTAGCATTTCCTTGTAATAAGTCTTTTTTTGGTACTTTTACTCAAGTAAATGTTTTGAATACTTTCTCTTTCTGTCAATGATTGTCAGATAAACAAAGCTCAGTTGATTTTGAACGCCACACAGTGAATCTGAGCGTGTGGCAGCATGCAGCTCAGGTATGTGCTGGCGTCTTATTTGTTGTGCAGCATTTCCAAAGTGTTTGGTTTATCGCACCATTTATTGAGTTTCTTCTTTGAGCGTGTGTGTGGCCAAACAAAGGACCCCTGGAAATCAGCTGCTGATGTTCAGGAAATGGCTCTTTAATCATCTCCATTACATTAATACTGAGCTGCTGATTCACCGATGTGCTGGACCTTTTTTTTTAAATTATATTTTATTTGGGGGTTTTCTTCACTGTTCAAGAGTTCTATTGGAAGTATTTTACTCAAGTAATGGTGAATATTTTTAAACTATTCTTACTGTTACATTTGACCCTCTGAAATGTCTTTAGCACCATCTACTGGACATGTCATAGTAGAGCATGATGAGCAATGATGAGTGCTGAACCTGCAACTACATATATTTATGAAAATATATTCATAAAAACAAAGCCACAATATTACTATTGTTACTTTATCCTTCTTTTCAGTGGAGGTACATGCTAGATGAAACATTTCTCCCTGCTCTAAAACCAGCCGTTTAAACATTAGATATGAAAAGTATGTAGGGACTGAATGTGGAGTACTTGTTAAATATTAAACTGTTAAAGGTTATCCATCGTGTTGTTGCCACAGTTTTTGACATCTCTAAATGTGAACATACCAAAAGTATACCAGTTTTGTTTTAATATTTGACTCCAGTCAGCATACAGTTTGTCTCTGGATCTCACTTCCACTGCTTTTATTCTTAAAGCTTCCTGTGCCATTATCTGATCTCATGATGAGACTGGCACAGGAAACATTTTATATCTGTCTGTTGAACATTCCTTCACGCTTCATACCTTAATCTGCTTCACAGAACAGCAACCTCTGCTTACAGGAGGACAACACCCAGGTCAGCCGCGTTGATTTAGAAATCAAACGGTTTCTGATTATCATGATGCAGGTGACGAGAATCTGATAGAAAAGAAAACCAATAGAGTCCATAACTAAATATGACACCCCAATACAGAGTTTACAAAATAAAGACAACGTCAGAGTTTTGTGCATTTCCTCTTAAAATACAAAATAGTGAAGAAAATAAATTTGAGAATAAAGTATAAAAATGTGTACCACATAAAAAACAAGAGAATTTCTATTTAGTAAACATTAGTCTTAGTGTGAAAGTCTAATCATTTCTTCCATGAAGCCCGGTTTATTTTCCTACTATGGATTGGAATGCTTTCATTCTGCTGTGGATGCTGTGATCTGTTCGGATTCATGTCTCTGGAGGATATGTCTGCAGAAATCATCTTTTAGAGATTCAGCTGTTTGTTCATTCTTTCTTTCTGTTCCATTAACACCTGCTCAGTCAGGATTCAGGTGCCTTGTGACATGCCGCTTGTAAGCAGCAGTTAGAACTGTTCCACACAATCTCAAATGAAATGAAGACTAATCAAATAAACATTTAAAGAGGAATTTTGTTTACAAAATAACAGTACAAAAACTCCAGTATTCTTTCCAGCGGTTCCACAATAATTACAGTTGACAGCATTCAAAAATAACATTTGGATGGGACACTTTAGGAATAAGTGTTAGTATATTTTCATATTTCAAGCAGCAAATGTATCTTGAAAACATGCACCTTTTAAGAAAGCTGGTAAGGCATTTCAATGTTCCACATGTTGCTTTGGTTTGAAATGTAAATCAGCGTGTCAGTGATTTGGGCTGAATGTACCATTTCTCTTTTTTATTATAATGTTCATTATTATCAGCCACTGTCAGTATAAAAAGGGAAACCATGTGACATTCAGGCGGAGAGGCATCGGGTGAGGGTCTCTGTACAGTCTGATAAAATCTGCTGCTCCCAGTGAGGCGGCCAGCACCTCACTGTTAGTAGCTGAACATCTGTGTGGAGCCGCTCTGATGGGGGGGGGGCTGGCTCTGCACGGGGCGGCCCCCCTCTCCCTGACCCTGGGCCTCTTGACTCCCCCCCTGAGCCCCCTCCCCCATGTGGGTGACCTGTCCTTCAGGCACCGGCCTCCAGGCCTCCAGCTGGCCCAGGGGGTTGACCAGCGTGGTCACGTTGATGAAGTGAGCCACGGACTGCGAGCCCCCTCCGGGTCCCACCGTCTCCGGGACCAGCTCGGGGGGGCGGTTGTGGAGCAGGGCGGAGCCGCTGACCGCGTCGAAGGTGACGGTGAGGATGGAGCTGTCCAGGCTGAGGGGCCGCTCGCCGGCCGTCAGGTGACCCACGGCAACTGGCTGCAGGCTGGTGAACTGGGCGGGGGGATGGCTGCTGATGGGGGTCACCGTGATGTTGGTCAGCCCCCCCGAGCTGCAGGGGGAGGCTGACGGAACGCCGGGGTCCGCCAGGACCACCACCTGGAACAGCAGCACGTCAGAGACAGGTTCAGAGAGGTCAGACATTCTGCTCAGTCCCAACGTGACAGGAACTTTACACAATTCATCCAAAAGACGTAAATGTATGTATATAATATTTATCTTATATTTAAACAATTCCCCAGTTTTTCTAAAGACTACTAAGAGCATTGTACCACATTAGTTACAGTTATTATATATATCATATATATATATTTTGAATCAGAGAAATATACGGTAAGCAATAGCAACATTACACATGACAACTGTCAATGACTTGTTACTGGATGCTACATCGGTCTTTCATTTATTTGAAAAAATAAAAATGACATTACTCTATGTAGATATTACAACATGCATTTTAGGACTTATCTCCGACATTTCCTTCAGCAGTTCTATTGCATTCATTCTTTATGTTTTGTTGCTGCAAAGGTGTGTTCAATCTTGAATTGTAAATATGGTTAATATGTTAGTGTGACGTTTGGACATTATATGTCAAATGTCCCGTTTCTTTTAAATTGAACCCTCAGGTTTTATTTCATTATTAACCTTTTAGAGGGACATTTTATTACAAGTTAGTTACTCAAATGTGCATCTTTTCTTTGACCACAACCAACAAATATAAAGTGAAGCTGGCAGTAACACAGAGTATAAATCATGGCTGCTGTATCCTGGCACAAGCTCATTTGTTGTGGCTTTTGATAAATAGATATCCAACATGTTATTGTGACAATAGAACAAACGTTAGTGATCATGTCCTGTACCTGCTGGATGCTCTGCACAGCAGAGCTGGTCTCCGTCTCGTCTCCCACGATGACGGTGCTGAACTCGATCGACTCGTGCCTTGTCTCGTTGTAGTCCACGTACTCATCAGACTCGGAGAGCTCCGGCTCAGCGGGGACTCTGTGCCTCCTCCGGGGGGGCCGGCCGGTCCTCTCCTGAGGCAGCCCGTCTGAGGCCTGAGGAGGAAGGAGAACAAATTCTAGATCTTACTGCAGACATGTCACACAGGAGGAGAGTAACACCAAGCGCAGAGGTAGTCATGGTAACGCTGACTCACTGCTCATACTCTGATGGTTACATATTTAGTGACCAATAAACATACTTCCTTGCACCACCAGGAGTTAATTAAGGCTGTGCAGGTATACAGTGTATACATCAGTTTGATTCAAAACTTGGATTGACCTTTGATGAAGCTAAGGATGATGTCATACTTTTTGAAAGTGGAAAGTGAGTATTAAATCAGCTTTCTTTGAAGAACATTCTTCAGTGTGTGGCCAGAGGGAGAGCAGACCATTTCTTTGAGTGAGGTTCATTGGTTGATTTTGAAAGTCTGTATTAAATTGCATCTATATTTCTAAATGGATGTTGACTTCTTGGATGGTCTGGAGTTATTGGAAAAGTGTACATCGCCCAACTGTTTGGTACTGACCTGCAAGGATGCTAAGCTAAAAGAAACAAGAGAGCCTTTTTCTATCATTACTTAAAGTGATGACCCCTGACTAAGTGACATTTGATATTCTTTTCATTGCTTAACTTCTGTGACTATAGACTAGGGCTGTTCAATTAATCGTATTTTAAATCGCAATTACGATTATGGCTTGCAACGAATACGAAAACAACGTAATCGAAATATAACGATTATTTTATTTATTTATTTATTGGTTTTTAAGTTGAGTTATACTTAAAGTTCAGGGTAATCAACTGTTAAAAACATACTGTTCAAAAAAATGTTCTCTAATAAATTGATGTTTTCAAATTAAATGGATAATCGTTTTTTAATAATCGTGATATCAATTATTGACCCAAATAATCGAGATTATGATTTTTGCCATAATCGAGCAGCCCTATTTTCTAGCAAAAAATCTTTAAGAGATGACATGAGCAGCCCTACCAGCATTTGCCATGGTGGCCAAAACATTTATTTCCTGTTACTTCTGGACCATGACGGTGGGCCAGCCTTTAATGTTTAACTGAGTGGAATATGTTGAATATGTTTTACCAAAATGTTAGCTATATGTTAAGGAGTTTTCAGGTTGTGACAGTGCACTGCAACATGTTTGTTGATCTTGTTTATTGGTATTTATTATTTTGATATTATTTATTTAAATGTAGATGTGAATGTATAATTTATTTTATTTTATTTTGTGTTGGTTTTTCAGTTGATTACCCTGACCGTATAATTCAACAGTTAAAAAGTTCAAATTATTATTTGTATTTGTTTTAAAATACAATAAATGGATGTTTTCAAAGTCAATGAATAATTATAATTATTGACCCAAATAATCGAGATTATGATTTTCGCCATAATTGAGCAGCCCTACTATCGACGTCTACGTTCAGGTGCTTACAGTGCCCTTACAATGAGAGGCTTTTATTTAAAAAAACAGCACTTCAACTCTAAGACAGACTGTTTTATTCACTTCTCCTCACACATACTGTAGCTGCTACATAGCTTGTTCGACCCCTCGGTTGGAAACCAGCGATGTACAAGACCTCAACATCATTTCAGCATCAGATTCAGATATGTAAACTATGCAAAAGTTTATCCATTTTAATATCTGGAGGGAGTTTAGAACTGGAAAGTTATACAAATAAATTTTAGAACCCTACACAATTCTAAAGAGTTGCCTGCCTGTAAGGCCTCTGCTTCTACGGTAATGTAGTGTTTAGTATATACTCAACTAAATATAATCAAGGCCAGGTCCTAGACCATCGTACCTTGATTCATTTATTGATATTGTTTCCTCTCCCCTTAGTTGTTCATATACAAGACTATGCAGGGTTTTCTTTTGACTTTGTCTGCTGTATTTATTGTTTTGATGTAGTCAATTGTTTCTGTATTGGTATTTAAGATGTGCACGCGTACTAGAAGTGTTTCATTATCGCTGCAGCAGAAGACCCAAAAGTATGAAAATATGGAAACTTTGTATGTTTACTTTTCAGATCTTTGGATCAGAAACAAGTTAGAAAACAAAGAATTTGAAATCAAACACATTGTCACTTGATTCTGATCAAGCTGATGTGATCTGACCTGCACGATACAGATGGAGTCGCCGATGGTGGAGGGCTCCTGGAGATCATCGAACTCATCCATCCTCACAGACACCACCTGCAGCACCAGGAGAACAAGCACATTCAGGAGGGAATACCAGCAGATGGCCTCCTCGGGGGGGGGGGGGGATTATTTTCCCGCTGTGACTCACCTCGGGGTGTTTGCGCCGCAGGTGTCGGTTCATGGAGGCGCGGGTGGAGACCTTGGTCCCACAGAGGTGACACGACTGGGCCTCCACCTTCTCGTGGGTCAGGTGGACGTGCTTCTGCAGCATGTACTCAGTCAGGTACTTCTTATCACAGGTCGCACACGTCCACGTCTTCCCCACTGCAGAGAGGGGGGGGGGGGGGGGGGTCAGTCTCTGCTGTTCATCTAATTTACTATTCTGACCCTAGAATGACCTTTACACTTAATGTGATGCATTTTGTAATGGAGAAATTAACATTTGCTTTGTGACTAAAGACATATCTAATACATGTTGGGGATGTGGGTGGAGTTATCTACCCAAAGAGAATCACACACACACACACACACACACACACACACACACACACACACACACACACACACACACACACACACACACACACACACACACACACACACACACACACACACACACACACACACACACACACACACACACACACACACACACACACACCATAATAATCTTAAGACATATTCCCCAAACTTGCAAAATACGAATAATTTATGAACACATAAAACAATACTGTTTAGATAGTTCATTTCTAATAATTGATGTACTATGTATTTGGGGTTATAGGAAAGGAGATGCATTTAACCGCAGAACGCCAGCGATCTGTCCTTTGCTCTCCTCCTAGCTGGTTGAGCCGTCCTGCTTAAGTGGAGGGACAGTGTCCCGCCCACTCACTCACAGTGGTTGAAGGACGTTATGTCCTGCATGAAACTTGATCAGATATTCACTTCTATACTCTGGACATTTCAGGAAGCCTGGGAACCTTTTAAAAAAAATGCATTCCACACTCTGTAAGACGATCTGCTATTGGTATAGCTTATCTGCAGCATACGTATGTATGTGTGTATGTATACAGTAGATGTGTATGATTATTAGGTATTTGCTGCATGTATGTATATGCATATGTATTACATACATATATATTACTTGTAAATAATCGTGTGTATGAGGCTCACTGGCAGTGACTGTAGGGGATTACTTTAGTTGTTATTGTTTGTTGGTGTTCTTTGCAACTATTTTTTATCTTTGTCCATCAATCAGTACCATTGTCTCATTTGTATGCATATATTTTGCTTTCCACTTCTAAATGACAAACGTTACTTATGCATTGTCGAAACGTAATACAAATATTTTTGATCAGAATAATTAATGTACTATACTATATAGTTTCTGGGCCTCAAACTTCACAAGCATGGAGATAATAATATAGCATGGAGATAATAATATAGCATACCGTCTGTTCCCAACCAATCCTTATTCCAGCCTTCAACTGTCTCACATTAAAATGTTTTTTTTCTGGCCGCATTCACTAGTTCTTGTCCAACCCTAACCCCTCCATGTGGTTCCATGTGGAGAACAGTGTAGTGAGTGGAGCAGCAGGGTGTGAGGACTTGCCTGTGTGGATGAGTTTGTGCGTCTCCAGAGTCGTCCTCTCACTGAACGTCTTTCCACACAGCTCACACATGAAGTCCTTTATACCTGCAGGCAGAATGTCAAAAAGTCACATCTGTCCAACCATGAGCTCTACGAACCCCTACAGTCAGCCTACAGAGCACATCACAGCACAGAGACCGCCATCCTCAAGATCACTAATGACCTCCTTCTCGCTGCTGACTCCGGACAAATCAGTATTCTCATCCTCCTCGACCTCTCTGCGGCCTTTGACACCGTTTCTGATACAGTCCTCCTGAAATGCCTCTCCGACAACCTTGGCATCACTGGCACAGCTCTGTCTGGGCTTTCAGTCCCATCTCTCAACCAGGTCCTTAGTTTGTCAGCATCAGCGGCTTCATCCTCCCCCGCC